GTAGGCGGTGCCGGTCGCCAGTTGGGTGGTTTGAGCCGGGGGAGGCTAGGTTGTTGGGCACAGACTTAGTACATGATGCCTTGGATAAGGTCAAGATTATTCAGGATCGACTTCGCATAGCCCAATCCAGACAGAAGAGTTATGCCGACCGCATAGTTTGCAATATTGCATTCATGGTCGGGGAGAGAGTGTTGCTTCGGGTATCACCCATGAAGAGTGTAATGAGGTTCGAAAGTATCACGGCGATTCGTCCCATGTGTTAGATTTCAGCTCTGTCCAGTTGGACAAGGATTTGACTTACGAGGAGGAGCTAGTGGCTATTCTAGCCCGGCAAGTTCGCCAGTTGAGATCAAAGAGTTACCCTTCAGTTCGAGTGCAGTGGAGAGGTCAACTTGTTGAGGCGGTTACTTGGGAGTCCGAGTCTAATATGCGGAGTAGATATCCCCACCTTTTCACCAGCTGAAGTACTTTTCTATGTCCGTTCGAGGATGAACGGTTGTTTTAGAGGTGGAGAATGTGATGACCCAAAAGGTCATCTTATGCTTTAGAACTCGATTTTGTGCTCTTAAGCCCTAAAAATCTCATTTTACCCTTCTCGATTTGCATGCACAGTCCGGGCGTGTTTTCGAAAAACTTTTATGTTGAAAATTGATGAAAATAAGAATATTTGCCTTAAAAGTTGATTTTAGTTGATTTCGGTCAACATTTTTGGTAAACGGGCATGGATCCGTGTTTTGACGGTCCCGGTAGGTTCGTATCGAATTATGGGACCTGGGCGTATGCCCGGAATCGAATTGGGAGGTCCTTAGCTCGAGTTATGAATTTTTGATGAAAATTAAAAGTTTGAAAATTAATTATTTTTAAGAATTGATTGATGTTTGGCATTTTTAGTATCGGGTCTGTATTTTGGTTCCGGATCCTGGTACAGGTTCATTATAATATTTAAGACTTGTCTGTGAAATTTGGTGAGAAACAGAGTTAATTTGACGTGATTCGGACGTCCAGTTGAGAAGATAGAAATTTTAAAATGTTCTTGAGAATTTCATTTGATTTGGTGCTAAATTCATAGTTCTAGGTGTTATTTTAGCGATTTGATCACGCGAGCAAGTTCGTATGATGTTTTTAGACTTGTGTGCATGTTTGGTTTGGAGCCCCGAGGGCTCGGGTGAGTTTCGGATAGGCTACGGGATATTTTGAACTTAAACAAATCTGGTATTTTGCTGCAGCAGGTGTTCTGGTATATCCTTCTTCACATTCACGAAGGCTCTCTCGCGAACGCGAAGGGTAAGCTCGTCAGGCTGGAATTTTCTTCTGCGCGAACGCGAAGGCTTGGTCGCAAACGCGAAGTGATGGGGGAGTTAAACTTCGCGAACACGTAGTGTTAGGCACTGGGGGGGGGGGGGGAGTCAGTCTTTCCTTCATCGCGAACGCTAGCAATGTCTCGCGAACGCGAAGGCTAAGGGGGCGTAGCCTACGCGAACGCGAAAGCTTGGCAGCCTATACTTTTCGCGCACGCGACAGTGCTCTCGCAAACGCGATGAACACTGTCGCCCAGTACTTAAAACAAAATCAAACACGGGATTAAGCCATTTTTCCAACTTTTCATAAAAAAAATGGGCTAGAGGCAATTTTTAAGAGATAATTTCTTCCCGAAAGTGTTGGTAAGTGATTCTAAACCATTTTCTTTCAATTACCCATTTCATTTCATAAATGTTCAACCAAAAATCTAGAGTTTTCATGGTAGAATTAGGGGTTTGGGTAGAAACTCTGAAATTTGGGGATTTAGACCTCAATTTGAGGTCGGATTCCAAAACCAATTATATATCCGGGCTCAGGGTGAATGTGTAAATGGAATTTGGTCTGAACCTCGAGTTTTGACCAAGCGGGCCTGGGGTCGATATTAGACTTTTTGGAGGAAAGTTTGGGAAATTTAAATTTATGCAATGTAATTAATTCCTTTAGCATTATTTGATATTATTGAGTCATTTTTGAATAGATACGAGTGGTTTGGAGGTGGATTCTAGAGGAAAAGGCTGTGATTGAGTATTAAGTGGCCTTCAGAGCGAGGTAAGTATTGTGTCTAACTTTGACTCGAGGGAATTAGGAACCTCAGACTATTTGTTATGTGAAATTCATGTGAGCGGTGTATATGTGAGGTGACGAGTACTTATGCGCCGCCAATTTACCTGTTTTCCCTATTTCTCCCATTTTTTATTGTCTCTTTCCTATGCCTAATTGCTACATGTTTATACTAGTGTTGTTAAATTGATCGTTCTTATCATGTTTACGTATTTTCTGGTAATAATTGAGTATTTATTTCAAAGTTGAGATTGATATTGTGGAACCAAATGTTGAAGTAAGGTTTGTACTTGTTATTCTATCTCCATGTTGTTATTTATTCATTGCATTATGGTAAGGGAGAGTGTTAATCATGAAGGGTGATGCCGTACCATATTGTGAGTGTAAAAGCACGAAGGGTGATGCTATGCCATATTGTGAGCGTTAATGTATGAAGGGTGATGCCGTGCCATGATATGAGAGTTAATGCACGAAGGGTGATGTCGTGCTGTTTTTATTGATTTTATGGTGAGATTGAGAGTAAAAGAACGAAGGGTGATGCCGTGCATTTTTCCTTTACTATATTTTCCGTTCTTGTTGATTCACAGTACATTGGTTGTTCCAGCTATCATTCTGTTGTAGTACTTTATCTCGTATTTCCCCCAGCATGTTTCCCCCTCCTGATATTTCCTGTCTAGCTCTTCATTACTGTTATTTGTATATATGTTGTTAAATTGTACAAGTTGATTTGTAGGTTTCTTGCCTTAGCCTCGTCACTACTTCGTCGAGGTTAGGCTCGATACTTACCAGTACATGGGGTCGGTTGTACTGATACTGCACTCTGCACTTTCTGTGCAGATTTTGGTACCGGCTCGGGTTGATCCAGATTTTAGCTGTTGGACCCACTATCCAGAGACTCAATGTAGATCTGCCGGCGTTCACAGACCTTGAATTCCCCATCTATCTTTTCAGTTTTATTATTTTTTTTCATCCAAATAGTTGTATTTCTTTCAGACTATTACTTGTAGTGAATTCTAGAATGCTCGTGAATTATGACTCCAGATCCGGGTGGTAGTAATTAATACAATTTTTATATTATTCTGCACTTACTATATTTCATCTTTGCTAATTATCATTATTTACTGAATGGAAATAAGGATTTGATTTAATGATTCTCTAACGTTGGCTTGCCTAGCAAGTAAAATGTTAGGGGCCATCACGGTCCCGACGGTGGGAATTCCGGGACGTGACAATCATTAGGATCCATTCACTCACAAGTTAACTGCTCTTTCATTATTGGGCACTTATAGAGTTGCTTTGAGATCATTCTTGGAAAATCTCAATTTTTCATCATTTCAACAAAATAAAATAAGACATACCTCGACTAGAAAAACTCAAGATTATCATTCCACATCTTTTTCCCTTCTCTAACAACCTATATTTCTTCTTATAACCTCCAAGATTACGCCTTTTGTGCATCTCATGCCTTAATATTTTCATGCTTACCCATTTAAGTTCACATACTTTATCATCGCATACCTTGGTATGTATAATTAGAGATTGACTTTTGTTTGTATCACATTCATCATCTGGAGGAACTCAAGGTTGTCATGCACATCTTTTACATATGGCATGCTTCTCTATCCTCAACTCGTACTTACACGTGAAACTTTATTTCTTGTATGCCACTTCTATCACATATGACACCATCATGACGATAATCTATCATGCTTAGGGGAAACCTGATGTCAAGTACAATTAAGGGTCATCACTCTCGTCTTGTAACATTCCCTTTTCGGATGATCAAGAAGTCCTTTTTTGGGAAGGTTTCTTTGGTCATTATTAACACTGTCTTAACTATGCTATACTTCTTATGAATCATACAATGTTCGCCACAAACTCGACTGATTCACATTCACTTATCAGTTAGATCCATATCGCCTCTCTATATATTGTCATGATAATTTAAGGTGCAACATCTTCATTTACAATATTCTTTTTGTACTTTTGCTAAACTTGTTAATGCTGATTACCATAGTAAACAGTCGTTCCAACATCTTGACCAATAATCTTGAATTGAAATCTAGGATCTAACATAGGTGCCCTTATTCGTATCCTTTAGTAAAAAAATTTATAAGTCATGACACCATCCTGACAATACTAGCTGACATCATCACCTTATTTTCTTCTATGATTTCTCCATATTCGACTGATAATTCTTATTGACCAAAGTCATACGTGTTGACGTATCAGTCCCAATCTATTCTCAACTTATCTTTCCATTTTGAACAAATCTAACACTTTTTGGCTATTATCCCAAGAGTCTTGTATTATAACTTGAACCTTGAGCTTTATTCTCGTCACTTCTATATCTTCCATAACAGGTAATCAATACGATCGAGAATACGTACTCTCACTTCAGGCACAATGCATGATCGAGAGTATGAAGAAAGTGAAACTCCCTAGATGTCATTGTAGCCTCCCCGATATAAGTGTGGCCGGCAACACACCGATAAGAGGGACTCTACTTGACATGGATCCATAGACTTCCTAGGACTCGACTTAGAACCTAGTGCTCTGATACCAAGTTTGTCACGACCAAAAACTACGTGACTGGCACCCGGCATTCTACCCGACCCGAGCGAACCAAATCATGTGATGCACCCAAATCATATGCATGAAAACCAATATCACTGCGGAAGCTCCTTGAAAATCATATACATTTTCAAGTTAAATGATAAAATATTTTCCAATTCAAAATCACCCATGACACCTTTCATGATCATAACAATGAGACTAAGTAATATAAATATATTTTCATGTATAACCCTGTTACTATAACCTTTCACAACTTTGATGGAGCCTCTATACCAACAAATAGAATTAAACACTTAGGCTAACACCCGACTAGCATAAATTAAGAAAACAACATGATAACTACCATGAAAATAGGGGTGAAGGAGGATAAGTTTGCACCAAGAGCTAAGAAAGAAGTCCTTTTGGGATACTCCTCTACACAAAAGGGATATAGATTGCTTGATTTAGAAACTAACTACTTTTTTGTCAGCAGAGATGTTACTTTCTGGGAATCTATTTTTCCTTTCAAGGAGACTCAACTGCAGATCAATCTACATACAGTGATGCAGAACCAAGATGATTTCCTATGTCTGCAGCATGACAACATACATGTTGTGGAAGTACACATCATAGAGGAGCATGGTCAAGCAATAGAAATGCCAGTTATGAATACAATATTGGAACAATCAGCAGAAGCCACACCTGAAACTTCAACAAATCAACCAGCAACTAATGAAAGAGATGCAGAAGGCCTGACAGAAGACTTTGAACAGCTAGAGGAGATCATGGACTCCACAACACCTGCATTTTTTAGCTGAGGAGACAACAGTTCCACCTGCAGTTTTAGCTGAGGAGACAACAGTTCCTATTGCAGAAAAATGCAGATCATTTAGCTGTTCTAACTTTGCAAGGAATTTCAAAATCTGAAGGAATTTCAACTACAGAAATCAGGCAGTCAGCCAGAACAAAACAACCACATATGTGGATGTAGGATTATGTTACAAAGAGGCATAAATCCACACAGTGCGCCTACTCCATCTCTAACTACCTATCTTATGAAACTGCAACTCATAAATACAGAGATTACTTGCATGCTTTTTCAGTAATGGAAGAGCCACATTCCTTCAAGGAGGCAGTAAAAGACAAGAGTTGGATAGAGGCAATGCAGCAAGAGGTGAAGGCTCTAGAGGATAACAGAACTTGGGATGTAGTTACTCTACCTGCTGGGAAGTCTACTATATGATCAGAGTGGGTATAGAAGATCAAGTATAAGTCAAATTGAGAAGTGGAAAGATTTAAGGCAAGACTTGTAGCAAAGGGATACAATCAACAGGAAAGTTTGGACTACAATGAGACATTCTCTCCAGTCACCAAAATGGTGACTATGAGATCTGTCATAGTTGTTGCAGCCTCCAGAGATTGGAAACTTCATCAAATGGATGTGTTTAATGTATTTCTTCAGGGAGATCTATATGAAGAAGTGTACATGGACTTACCACAAGGCTTTCAAAAGCAGGGAGAGAAAAAGGTATGCATGTTATTGAAGCCATTGTATGGACTTAAGCAAGCATCAAGATAGTAGAACCTGAATCTCACAAAAGCATTAGTAAATGCAAGTTTTCATTAGAGTGCTTTTGATTATTCCTTGTTTACCAAAAGATCTGGGAGTGACATAGTTATTATTCTTGTCACGACCCAAAACTACGTGACCAGCACCCGGCACACTACCCGACCCTAGCGAATCAAACCATGTGATGCAGCCAAATCATATGCATGAAAACCAATTTCAATGCGGAAGCTCCTTGAAAATCATATACATTTTCAAGTTAAATGATAAAATATTTTCCAATTCAAAATCACTCATGACGCCTTTCATGATAATAACAATGAGACTAAGTAAAATAAATATATTTTCATGTATGTCATGTACAACCCTGTTACTATAACCTTTCACAACTTTGATGGAGCTTCAATACTAAAGAATAGAATTAAACACTTGGACTAATACCTGACTAGCATAAATTAAGAAAACAACATGATAGCTACCACAAAAATAAGGGTGGTGCCTCACCATATATCTTAGGAAGAGAGTCATCCTAGCCCTGACCGCATGCCACACAACATACCTCATCCTGAAATATGTAAAGTAAGCAGGGCCCTAGAAGGGGGGCCTAGGGGCTGAGTAAACCACACCAGTACTCAATAAGTGTCATAGACTCTCTCTAACTTAAGTTCTTGGAAAAAACTTTATAAAAATAATGCACCAATATTTGATATAAAACGATAAGCAATTTTATCAATTCATGATACTTGTCATTTTAAATAAACACTTGGGCTAATACCAAAGAATAGAATTAAACACTTGGGCTAATACCTGACTAGCATAAATTAAGAAAATAACATGATAGCTACCACAAAAATAGGGGTGGTGCCTCACCATATAGCTTAGGAAGAGAGTCATCCTAGCCCTGACCGCATGCCACACATCATACCTCATCCTGAAACATGTAAAGTAAGCAGGGCCCTAGAAGGGGGGCCTAGGGGCTGAGTAAACCACACCAGTACTCAATAAGTGTCATAGACTCTCTCTAACTTAAGTTCTTGGGAAAAACTTTATAAAAATAATGCACCAATATTTGATATAAAACGATAAGCAATTTTATCAATTCATGATACTTATCATTTTAAATAAAAGCCAAGTGAAATATAATCCACAATATACACATTTAAAACATTTATATCAACCCAAGACTTTTGGATAAAATCATACAAAATCATTTCCATTTGCTTTAAGTCATTGAAATAACTTTCGGCTCCTTAGGCCTAAACTTAAGAAAATCATCCTTACCTTTCACCGGGTGTACTATACCATCACCGACATAAGAAAGTCAACTAGGTTATGTACCTAGCGGCAAGTATCATATACCATACTTGCTCAGGTCGTCTCATCGTAATGTCGTACGAATCGACACAACCATGCTAATAATAGCACAAAATAGTACCCTCTCGAGGGACAACACTTTGTCGTAGTCTCTACCACAAATTGGCCATCTACGCCTACACCAGCACATGTAGTTTCATGGCGACGAATACAATATATCTGAAATCAATCTCAATGAACACAAGTAACTCCCAAAACATTTGATACTTCAAACATAGATTCATAGCATAGTAGTCTCAAAGGATCTACTTTTATCAAATCATAACATTAATAAAAAAAATCTTAACCATCTGAACAAAAATTAAATAAACAACCTTTTACATGTTAAAGCCTTTAGCAATTTAACATCAATCATTAAAAGATACCACAAGTACTATTCTGCTCATCAATTTCCAAAAGGAATACTTTTCATGAAGACTTATCTTTAGCACTCAAATATGTATACTCTTGTCAATACGAAAGTTCTTATAAAAACTTATAACATTTACCTTGAGTGTCATTGTCCCAACAAGATTTAAATAAAAATTTATAAAACAGCATGACACTACATATGCAACATAATACTTTTGTACATGGAGACATTCGTACGTGTTTGTCCCCACAAGTACGAAAGCACATTTGAAAACAACTTATGTATTAACTCGAAACATGCTTTTAGAGAAAGTCCCTCAATTAGAGTAAGTTTTAATCAACTTACCTCGCTTTCGCTTTATTAACATTCACAAGCTTTCAATCCTCTTCCACCATTCCAATGTTGATTAAAATGCTCAAACATCACTAACAAGTCGATATCATAATTATATCAAAATATGACCTAAGATATTGATCAATATCCATATATTGCTCATAAGTTGGCTACAAGCCTCTAACAACTCAAATCGCCAAATAGATTTACATGCTAGACCATTCAACTTCATTCTTATATTTTAATACCCATTCGAAGTCATTAATGATACTACATCAATTGTCCAATGCCACCAAGTTACAATTCATCGTCTTCCATAATCAACACTTGAAAAATATACAATTCAGGTGATTACGTAGTTAATCACTTCCAACTTTTGCTAACAAATAATTTCATAGGTTCATTGTATTCATCAATTTCATCGCCAAGATTACTATTCATCTTCTCTCTTATTTTCACAAAAATACTATTCATGCCATGAACTAGAGTTTTATAATTCAATCTTTCAACCATTAAAACTTATAACAAATGCTTCAAATACTTCTAACTACTCATAATAAATGAGTTTGAAGTATTTAAATTACCTCTAGTAGATCAATCTTGAAAAATCACAACTTTGGTGATTTTTGTGTTCTTGAGGATTTGATGATGAAATTGTGATGATCCGATAGGTCATCTAGAGTTTTAAACCTTACTTCTATGTTTCTAAGCCTCCAATATCTTGCTTAAGCATTCCTCAATTTACGTGCGCAGTCCGGATATTTTTTCGAAAGGCTTTTATGTTAAAAATTGATAAAAATATAAATTTTTGCCTTAAAACTCTATTTGAGTTGACTTCGGTCAATATTTTGAAAAAATGGACCCGGATCTGTATTTTGACAATCCCGGTGGGTCCGTATCATGATTTGGGACCTGAGCGTATGCCCGGAATCAAATTCGGAGGTCCCTAGCTCGAGTTATCATTTTTTGTCGAAAATTGAAAGTTTAAGGGTTAATGACTTTAAGGATTTGACCAATATTTGACTTTGTTGATAGCGGGTCCGTATTCTGGTTTCAGAACCCGGTATAGGTACATTACTATATTTATGACTTTTCTGTCGAATTTGGTGAGAAACTGAGTTGGTTTGACGTGATTCGGACGTCCGGTTGTTAAAATAGAAGTTCTAAAGTTTTATTGAAAATTTCATTTAATTTGGTATCCGATTCGTAGTTCTAGGCATTCAATTGATGTTTTGATCGAGCGGGCGACTTCGTATGAAATATTTGGACTTGTGTGCATATTTCGTTTGGAGCCTCGAGGGCTCGGGTGAGTCTCGGGTGAAAATTCTGGTTTTTCTTAACTTCTGCTAGTTTTTGGTGTTCCCTTCTTCGCGTTCGCGAAGGCACTCACGCGAACGCGAAGAGTGAACTGGGTTGGGTGGGATTTTCTTCATCGCTAACACGGTAGCTGGGTCATGAACGCGGAGCAATGGGAGCCTTACCCTTCGCGAACGCGACCAGCTTCCCGCGAACACGTAGGCTTGTGACCTAGGAAGGGGATCATTGTTTCTTCTACGTGATCGCGAGCATTGGCTCGCGAACGCGAAAGCCGGTGGGGAGCAGCCTTCGCAAACACGTGGGAGGACTCACGAATGTGAAGGCCATTTAGACTGCTGCACTTCGCGAACGCGGCAAGCCCTGCGCGAACGCGAAGAAGGCCTAACGTCCAGACCTTAATACAGACCAAAAACGGGATTCTTGCATTTTTTCATAAACTCTCCATTAGAGCTCGGCCTAGAGGCGATCTTTAAGAGAAAACTCAACATCAATTCATAGTTTTGTACACTTTAACTCATTTTCTTTCATTTCTAACATCACCCATTAATTTCAAGCCCTAATCTTTGTTCTTCCATGGTAGAAAATAAGGGATTTAGGAAGGATTGAGGGTTTTTGAAAATTAGGGATTTAGACCTCAAATTGAGGTCGGATTCCTAAACTAATTACATTATCGGGCTCGGGAGTGAATGGAAAAATAGATTTTGGTCCGAACCTCAGGTTTTGACCAAGCGGGCCCGGGGTCGATTTTTTTACTTTTTGGGGAAAAGTGTGGAAATTCTAAATTTATGCATTGTAATTGATTCCTTTAGCAATATTTGACATTATTGAGTCAATTGTGGTTAAATACGAGTGGTTTGGAGACGGGTGCTAGGGGAAAGGCTCCGGTAGAGCTTTGAATCGACTTTTGGAGCGAGGTAAGTGTCGTGGTTAACCTTGACTCAAGGGATTAGGACTTGTTTGCCTATTTTCTACTCGTTTAAATGTTGGATACAACATATATGTGAGGTGACGAGTACTTATGCGTTGTTATTGGGTTAAAGCATGTGGGTGGGACTTGTTTCTTGTAATTTATATCTTTCTTTGATCATGATATCCATGCTTAGACTAATTAATTGATAAATTGATCGTTCTTTCCGTACTTATGAACTATCTGTGATAATTGAGTATTGTTTCTGAAGTTGAGATTGGTATTGTGGAACAATTGTTGACAGAAGACTTGATATTTCTTATTCAATCTTCCTATTGTTATATGTTCATTGTTACATGGTAAGGGAGAGTGTTAAAACACGAAGGGTGATGT